TCACAGAGAGGCCTGCCCAATGCTCTGGAGGCCTTCTTTGGTTTTTCCTGACGTGACTTGTAGCCTAGCCATCTTCTTCGTCATCCTACATATCCTGGACAATAAATTTTATTTCTATTTTTCTTTAGAGCTCCTCATAAAGTGATGCAGGGAGCATGAGAAGAGGCACTGGAGCTGAGCTTTGAATTCAGCTAGGGATTCTAAGAGGCCAAGGTGACCAAGGGGAGGCATTCCAGGCATAGCAGACAGTACAAAGGTACATAGATGGGATATGGAATATGTGGCAAACTGGCTAGTCTGGCTGGAAGGCTGGACCATAGAGGGCAGGAAAGTGGGTAATGTATTATTATACATTAATATATAATAATAAATTAATATATGAAAAGGCTTTCAATGCCAAACAGAGGAGTTTGTATCTTCTCACTGAAGCTCCAGGAAACCTCAAGCCTCCGCCTTCTATCGCTGATCAGTAAGTGGCCAGAATTCATGATTAAGCAATCAGCTGCATCAGATAGGCCCTTCTTTCCTTCCCTAATGAGCCCTTTATTTAAAATATGACAGGAGGATTAGCTTGGTCTTGAAACCAGAAAAAGGATGCCATGTTGGTCCACAGATGGTCTACTTATTTGATGGTAGGAGCATAATGGAATGAAAAGAGAACTAGATTTTGAGTCAGAGATTTGAAGGCTGGCTTTGTTGCTTGCTACCTTGAACAAGTCACTTCCTTTCTCTGGGCCTGAGTTTTCTCATCTGCAAAACGAAGGTTAGATGACCTCGAAAGAGACTTTCCAGCTCTAAGTCCTACAAACCAATGACCTTGGCTTGAAACAAAGCTACCTGGCCCCGCTCTCACCCCGTAGGGCAGGCTCCACCAAGGCTGCTCAGCTCAACTACTCAGTTAAGTGATATTAGGGGTTTCTTTTGTCATAGGCCAGTTCCCACCTACAGGTGAATGCTGCAGGTAGGAGGGAGGTATTGCCATTAAAAGACAGTTGCCACTGTGACTACTGCCTGTGCTGAGTCAGAAGGTGAGAGCTCTGCCTCAGTGATTCCAAGCAGAAGCATGGACAAGAGAGGGAACCAAAGTGGACATTTTGAAGAGTCGAGAACTAGATCAGGATGCTGCCAAAAGCCCACAGCTGCAGGAGTCGTCTGAGCTGGCTTTCCTTTGCCTAAAGACAATGAGGAGGAAAACACTCCAAGAGCGATGGCTGTTTGATGGGGCTACAAGTCCCTGCCCAGGGCAAATCACTGAAATGTGACTGTGTGTGCCATGTTCTCCTGGAATTCCACAATGGTCCATGTGTGCTGCTAAAAGCCAGGCTTTGGATGGGCAAACTACCTTAGGAAGTAAGGCTCAGATTCCAAATGACAAGGGCTGAAGACCAGCATTCTAGAGCCAGAAGAGCCCTCAGGGCAGGCCCAAGGAAGTTAAGTCAGAGACAAGATTTGAACCGAGGTCCTGAAAGTCTTCTGACTCAGTGAGTCACAGAATTAGAGCAGGAACTTTAGAGGCCATCTCTATTGATTTAGAAGTTTTCTCCAAGGGTACAGATCCACAGCTGCTCATCTTGTGTGACTGTTGCTGTGTCTTCCCAAACTTTATCACACAGACATTTAGATGATACCAAGAGCCAGGGAAGTTGTGGCTTACCTCAGGTCACAAAGGTAGTCCGAAGTATCAGAGATCTGCTTCTTGTTTGTGCCCCTCCCAAGACCTTGGTAGGATGGCAGAAGGCCATCCCGGCCTGTGGCTGATCTGGATGCCCATGGAGAAATTAAGAATCGACACAAACATTTCTTTAACAGTGATAATTTGTTGGGAGAACACTGTCAGGATGTAGACATAGGCCATTTTCTACTTCCTAAGTTGCTAAAAGAAGAGGTTTGCTGGAGGGCATTCACTGAGCACTGCATCCCCACGAGTGCTGCTATCACAACTGGAAGACTCTATCAGTTCCTTTGGCTGTGTTCAGTCTCCTAAATGGAGGTGGGGGAAAAGAGAGGGTGGTGATGCTCTACCTATAGCTTTAGGAGTATGTTCTAGCAGCCATATGGCTACAAAAAAATTTTTTAATTCCTAAGTTTTTATTAAATAAATGTTGCTAATTTGCCAGAAATAATCAGGATTCCAAAATATCTTGAAAGGCTAGATCAGATGATAAAATAATCCATGAATCACAGACTTCCTCCTGACTCAAAGGATCTGGCTATACTTTGAAGATTTCTGACTTCTCTGATTTATTATCCTAACCCAGATTATTTGGAAACTTCCCAACACTGTGCCATCTCTCTCCACAACGGGTTGCCATCAACTGCCCTTATAAGCACATGGGTCACAAGGCTCAAAGAAGGAGTAAATTTCTTTACAGGTCAACAGAAATTGACAAAACCCAACAACATAACAAAGTCTGCCAGTGAATAAACCTTTTCCCAAAGTCTGCTATAATAACCTCAGCCACTCAAAGTTTGAAATGCAATTCCTCTCTGGGACTTTCTCACTCTATGTCCTCTTATCTAAGCCCTTGAAGTCTCTCTTTCAGATTGTCCTATGCCCCACATTATTCTGCCTGCATTTCGCATCCGATCCCAGCACATAACAGCTTTTATAAAGAAATAATACTGTAATGGGACCATACAGAAGCAGGAGAGCTGGAGTCAGAAGGGCAGAGTTCAAATCCTTCTTCAGACACTTGCTAGCTGTGTGACCGGGCAAGTCACAACTGTTGTGCTGCAGTTTCCTCATCTGTGAGATAGGGATAACAACACCTGACTCACTGGGTTGTTGTGAGGCTCAAATACAATACTATTAAAGTGCTACATAAATGGTAACTATTATTATTACTATAATTAATAAAAGTAGTGCTGGTCAACAAGATGGAAGGCCACTATCTTATTCTGCAGCTCCGCCTGGAGACTAGCGTCATCTTCCCTAACTAGAACACCCCTCCCTCCCTCCCACCGTTCTTGACCACCGATACCCCAGTCTATAATTTAGGCTTTTTAGAGAAAGGGGAACGGAAGGGGAAAGGTGTCCAGAAACCATCTGTCTGGGTTATAGGCTTTTCCAGCCAACCCTTGTACCCAGGTCAGATCCAGTGACTGCAGGAATCTCACTCCTGAGTTTTCTTCATGCGATTACATTCCACTGACTTCTCTCTTCACATGGGGTATGTGTAGGGAATGGCGGGAGACAGGGAGCTCAGCCTTCAGGAGCTCCCCTCTCATCTCAGATCTTGAATCCATCATTCTTCCCAACCAACTACTGAAAACTTCCTGACTCTAGTGATCTATTTCCTCGGATCCCTCTCGGTGGGGGTAAGTCACAAACACCTCCCCCTCTCCCCATAATTTCTCTTGGTAACTGAGTAAACGACAAGCATGGTTCCCTCACTCCAAGATCTTGCAATAAGGAAACATTTAATATGGACAAATGTAAATTTCTACATTGGCTTTAAGAAAACCACAGATATAGGAAGAAGAGATATGGCTCGACAGTTTGTACGAAAAAGACCTGGGGGTCTTAGTGGACCATAAATTCACTGATTTAACAGTGTGATGTGGTAGCCATGAACATTAATCTACACTGAGAGACGCATGGTATCCAGAAGGAGGGAGATGATAGTTCCCTTCTGCTCTGCTTGGACTATGCCCCGAGAACTTTATTTGGCTTGGGGTATCACAGACGCCGAGAGGTTGGATGGTTTGAGAGGAAGAGCACTGGATTCAAAGTCAGAGGACCTGAGTTTAAACGCTACACCCGCTACTTGTGGCCTGTGTTGTAGGGTCTTCTTGTGCCTCAGTTTCCTCACCTATAAAAGCTGGGGCCTAGCCTGGAAGAGTTCTGAGGTCCCTTACAACTCCATGTTCCAGAGCTGGAGCACATTTAGAAAAGGCTGACCAGAACATCGAGGAGTCTTAGAACCATGCCCTCTGGGGATGAGTAAAGGAAACTTGGGGAGCTGATCTTGAAAAGGAGAAGACTTGAAGGGTAGCATAATAGCTATCTTTAAATATCCAGAAGCACATTCCTTCCTGGAGGGGAAAAAAAAACTGTGTGCATGTTAACAGAGAATTCAGTTTTCTCAACATTAGGAAAAACTTATTAATAATTAGCAATGTCCACAAGTGGGATGGGCTGCCTTGGGGAGGCTGAGGCACCTCATTACAACAGGTCTTCAAGCAGAAGGTCAGATGGCCACTTGTCAGGGAGACTGTAGACTGGATCCCCGCCTTCAGGTGGGGGTTGTACCAGAGAACCCCCTCTTCCAACGTTGAGACTCTATTACGGGATCATTTATTGAATCAATGTGTTATGTAATGTAAGAGGTGAATTCAAAGACCTAGGGACTGTTTTGTAAACTTACAGCAGCAAGTTGTGTTTTAGAAATTATGTAATTTCTGCCATTTGGAAGCAGAGTATAAAGAAGTGCTGAATCAATGTGGTCTTGAGCCTGTCCACATTAACATTATCAGGAGATGATGCCGTGTAAGTAATGATGGCCAGGGAGATGGGAGGCTTTTGCCCTCTGTTCATCTGCACCACAGATTCCTTCTTCCTATTTGTCCCCGTTCCCTTAATTGGAGAGGATACCGGCAGGAGCCAGAGATCACCCCTCGGGTTGTGCGCAGACAATGGGAACCAGGGTTTGAAACTGGCTCCTAGAACTCTAAGTAGGGCATGGTGATTGAGGCTTTGTACTGGAGTAGGATACTTAAATGGCACTAATGTTCACTTTGTGGTTCTTCCTTCTCCCCCCTCCAACCAGAGTATCTACCCCAGGACAACATACCACTCACTGGCAAGCCTACCATCCACCCCCTTGTCCCTAGCTCAGAAATAGGGAGTTATGGTTTTGCTGATAGCTCACTGCACTGGTAACTTAGCCTGCTCCATTCTCTTGTACTGTAAAGTGATACCTCCCGGGCACAAATCCTTTAAAAAAAAAAGGAGCTAGATTTGTTGGTGACATTTGGAAATTAAAAGCATGGACACAAGGTTTTGTGTTTGTTAGCTGTTTCTTTAATAAAGCAGGCTAGACACTCCTCCAGCTAGGAAACTCCTACACACTCACCCCAATCAAGACACGGCTGTAGCAGCTTCCTGCAGAATGCCTCTCTGGCACTGATGTTTCACGCAAGATGGGACCCAGTCATATGGTACAGACAGTAAACACTGGGAGGTCCAGGTCTGTTTTAAATCTCACATTCACTCATTCACACTGAAATACTGCACAATGCATACTGTTTCCTATGAGAGTATGGCAGCCATTGGACTTTATTAGGAGGAGGTCATCTTTGGAAGAAGAATTCAGTACATTTTAAAGTGGCAAATTCCTCCTTGGCATCTTTGAACCAAGTCAAGACAACGACTCTGGTTTCTCTGTCCAATCTGTAGCTCTCAGAATTACTGCAGGGAAGTGAGTCTGCACTAAATTTCCAGTCTGATCATGTGATGGAATATATTTGAGATGCATGAGGACACAATAAAAAAGAAAATATAAAGTTGACTAACAGGATTGACTTAAATCTTACTGATATAAAATGTGCTTTAAACTTTAAAAATCAAGACATGGTAGGTAGCATTAAACCAAAAGAGTTCCACTGATTTCTACACAGTTGTTGATAAAAACCCCACAAAACGTAAACCAAAACCCAACAAAAAAGTTTCATATTTTCAGGATTAAAAAAAAAAGAATGATTAAACATAAGCATCTGATAAGAAAACAAAGAAGACTGACACCATTATCTTCTTTCATGGCATGGAGACTAATGAAGACATGGACAGTGTTGAAACAGAAAGGAAAGCTAATGGCTCCCCAAATGGGGAAGTGATATTAACTGCAAAGAGCCTCCTAACCCGTGGGCGTCTGGGATGACCCTGCTCGTGCCTTGCTTACCCCACAATATCTCCTTCCTTGGAGGCAAGACTGGGAATATTTTGGGCTGGAGAATAAGCAATTCTGTTAGTTGGAAGGGATAAGACTTTAAAAGTCCAAAGAAATGGATATTTTACACAAACAAAAAAAAAAGCCCCACGACCCCAAAACCCTGGAGATGAAAGGGAAGCTGCCCCCTAGTAGCCAGGCTAAACCCTGGAGTGATTTGCAGCAACAATTCAAAACCAAACAGCCTGGTGCTGACCTGTCCCAATGTGGCCCACTTAAAGGTCATGCAGCTGAGCTGCTTCTGCTCAGGAAAGATACTGACAGAATTATCTGCCAGCCGAAGGCCAAGCGATCTCTCGTTTGGCTGTGCCCAGCTGAGCAAGTAACACCTAGGTATGATGACTACAGCTCACAAGGCACAAACGGTCTCAGGACAGTGTCTTGAATGGATGAGCATGCAAGGACACCTTTGTAATGAGGTACAGCTACCTGGTCATCTTCCGATTGCACCCCAGGGTCCAGCCTGGACAATTCAATGCCACCTGACTCTGGACCACTCCAAGGGCTAAGACAATTTCAAGGCCACAAGCAGAGTCAGCGTACAAACAGAGGGAGGCAGATGCTCTGAGGTTATACTGCTACAGGATAGGAGTCAGGCCAACACTTACGAGGTTTTTAAAGGCGGCAGTTTGGCAAAATCCTTTCTGCGTATTCCCCTTGCAGTAGTGCTGTGAGAACCATTTATAATTAAGAGGTGCTAACCACAACACTTAATCAACACATCTGGCAAGCAATGCTGGAATGTGGAATGATGCTGTTATCTCAGCAAAACACCTTAGCACTAAACGTTATAGTTGATTTTTCCTACTCGAGGTTAAAAACAAATTATGGAACAAATGAGATCTCCATTATGGTCTGACATCATTGAGTTGCTATTATCTCCTATATCAAGGAGGACATCAGATCATTGTCCAATTTATCTGCAAGGTAAATAGCAATGGGCTATAAAGTGCTTCTATCTCTGCGTTTGTACCTCAGTTCTTCCTATCTTCATGAGCCCATTAACCCAACAGATGAACAGATGAATATTGCTTCCATAAAACCTTCTCAGGTCCACTCCCATCTGGTGGTCAAAGCATTCGCAGACCATTCGCTTAGTGGGATAATCCTCTGACAAATGCTACTCTTGGTGAAGGAGCTGATCTAACCAAAGTGCTGACTTCACTAAAGTCAGGGTAGCCACTTATAAAAGGAAACTAGATAAGGCAAAGGAGACATTTTTTCTTTTTCAGATCTCTTCTTCCCTTTAAAGAGTTAGACTGCTAGTATGTGACTCCATTTTCTAACATCATCTATTCTCCAACCTATGGTAATTGATAAGTGGACAGTCTCAGATTTTGTGTCCAGGACTTTGATGAAAAGCTCAGAAATCATCATGTCTAGGATTTAACTACCGAAAAAGCAAATTATCCCAACTCAGAAAGACAGATGCCCAGCAAGGAAATCTTGGCTGTCTGTGAGGCCGTCTAGCGGAATGTACATCACAAATCCCTGCCTTGCCCTGCAGCAGCTCTGTGTCCCTGTCCCTGCACTGCTCTTCTGGGGCAGGGGACAGAGTGATGGAGGAAACAAGGGTGGGGACGAGTCAGAGTCTGGATGGTATGTTGGCCTAGCTCTTCTCTTCACCCTTTTTTCTATGACAAGGCATGGAAACTAATGAATCCAGAAGAGCACAATTTTAAGATCATGTTTCGTGCTTCTGGGTTGTTTTGAAAGAAGTTTGCTTTCCAACATTAATGAAGCATCACAGCAAACATACAACCTCCGACTTAAAGGAGTTTTCTTGTTACTTTTGAAACAGCTTCAAATGACCCTACTTTTCTGTGATATACTTTCAAGGTATCATACAATTGCTATCAAAACTGGGGTGTAGGGAATGATAATAGCCAAAGGGGTCTTGCATTGATTAGCCCCATGGCTTGGAGATGTCTTATCCAAACCAACTAAGAAATCTGGCTCCGTAACAAAACATGACTTTGATAATTTACTTCTAAACCCAGCAACCACAGGCATTTTCGATTAAGTCTGAAGGCAGATTTGGCCTAAACTATTCTAGTTCTTCCTATTAAATGACCGTTCGTCCTGCTCATTTTATTTTGATCACTGATGTGGGCCTCTTACAAAGAAGTACTCCAACTTAACTGGGACACAGATTTCGGGAGAGGAGGCTCCCCTGATGTCATTCAACCTCCCCATGCCTGGATGATCTCTGCGGGGGGAAGGTCTGAATCCTTTTCTTCCTTCCAAATATAATGTAACGATCACCTGCCCCCTTCTTGACGTGGCAGGGTGAGGCGCCAGGAAGTGACTTTAACTGTAGTTATCTTTTTTCCTGGGGTGTGTGAGGCTGGCTTGGCTCAGCACTAACTCAGAGCATGTGCCAGGCCTGACTCCAGCAGGAAGGGCTAAGACAAGCCCATCTAGACACTGGTGTACATCATCAGGCCTATTTTCGGGCCGCGTTCACTCAATTTTATTCTCTTGGCAGTGTTCCAGTGTTCTGTCATCACCCAATTCATGCTCTGAATGACTACTTAGGCTTTAGAGACTGTTGATGTTAGGTCAGCTCTGAGAGACTTTTGCCCCCTGCAATCTCCGGATGTAAAGGTCAAGGCTGTGAACATCTCAGTGAGAGCGGCTCCGGACGCTGACCGCTTAGATGTCCAGAGGGCTCACGATGGTAAAATCCGAATCCTTGCTGTTGTTGCTGCTGTCGTCATCATCAGGGCTGGAGCTCAGGTTACTGGAGGACGCTGAAGCCGTGCCCATCAGGGGATCAGAGAACACCAGGGAGGACCGAGAAAGCGCCTCACTCTTCCCTGATGTGCCCTTGGGTGCTCGGAGAGACTGAGACCGGACAGAAGCTCTGCTGCCACTGCCTTCCTCCTCCTCTTTGGAAACCAGGATGTAATCATCTGAACTCTTGCTTTCAGAACTCCCAGGCAAACCAGAGGGGGTCTGCAAAACCAAATCACAAGGATCGGGGTTAGACAACAGAAGATACGTGAAAGAAGACCATGGGAGCCTCTACGTCGTCTTGATTCTAGGCTCCCTGAATGCCACGCTTTATAAGGTTCCTGCTGGATTTTACTGCTGATCTCTCTCCCTCTCTGTATACATGACCCTCCCTCCTCAGAGAGGCTCAGAACTAACTCCCTATTACAGAAGGGCTTGTGGCATGGTCCTCTTACCTGGACCCCATGGACAATACTTTCAGAGACTCTTTTGTAATGTGACATACAACTCCGTGAGTGCATGGATGTGCACATTTCTGTGTGTGTGCATGGGGATATCAGCGCATACAGATCTTCTACCACTTAGCAGGTCACAGAATATGGCATCACTATGAGCTTTTCACTTCCTCGTTCATAAAACTTAAAGTTGGAAGGGACTTTCTAGGCCATTCACTTTAATCTCTCTTTTTCATACAGATGAAGAATGTGAGGCCCACAGAGGTCAGGAGACCCCCCAAGGTCAACGAGGCAGCAGGTAATAGAACGAGGATTCTAATGTCACGCTCTCTTTGGAGCTCCCCGCTGCCCTTTCCCACTGAGTGGTGTTAGGATCGTACACTTCAATGCTTCCTCTGGCAGACGTATCAGAATGACAAACTATGTCAAGGAGTAGACAAGAAGCTTTCCTATATTCTCATAACTTCCACCCGGGGCGGGGTGCCTCCTGGAGCCTTAGTTCCACAGGCACACCATCACATGGTCATACACCGGGGACTCTTTGGATTACAGGCGAGAGCAAGCACCACCCATGACACTACCCATGGAACGTGGCCATTTTACCAGTGGAGAAACTGGTGCAAAGGATGAGGCAGTGGACCGACCCAGCCTCTACTGAAAGCTAATTTAAAATCCAGGTTTTACTGACGAGACTTGAACACCTAACTTGTGAATTAGACCTCTCCCTATTAGACGGCGGCACCTGTGCCCTTCTTACACTTAATCAGAGGCTCTAGCAATTTTCTTGTTTAGTCTTAACAAAGACTGTGGCTACCTTACACCCATCTGACTGGCTAAGAATATAAAAAGGGAAAAATGACTAGAGCTGGAGGGGCTGTGGGATACTTTAATGTATTGCTGGTGAAGCTGTGAATGAGTTCAACCATTCTGGAAAGCAATTTGGAACTGTGCCCTGAAGCCTATTAAACTGTGCGTACCCTTTGACCCTGTGACATTGCTACAGGCCTATAGCCCCAAAGAGATCAAAGAAAGAGAAAAAAGACTCATCCGCACAAAGATATTTCAAGCAGTTCTTTTTATGATGGCAAATAACTGGAAACTGAGAGGATGCCCATCATTTGGGGAATGGCTGAACAAGTTACAGTATATGAATGTGATGGGACACCAGCGTGCTGTAAGAAATGATGTGGGGGATGATTTCAGAAAAACCTGGGAGGACACATATGAACTGATGCAAAGGGAAGTGAGCAGAACTAGAAGAACAATTTATATGATGGCAACATGGTAAAGATAATTAACTACAGAAGGCTTAGTAACACTGATCAACCACATTTCTAAAGGACTCCTGATGGAACATGCTGCCCAACTCTGGAAAAAGAAGCGATGGATTCAAGTACAGAATGAAGCTTCTTTTCTTCCCCTTCCTTCTTTCTTGACATGGCTAATGTGGGAATTTGTTTTGCATGACTATACGGATTTGTAACGGGTTTTGTCTTTCTTGCCTTCTCAACGGGTGGTGGAGGGGAAAGGGGCCAGGCTAGAATTCAGAACGGCAAATAACACTGAAATAACTAAATAAACAATTAAAGACTGGGGTACATGACATTCTTAATACAGATGAGTAAGACCACACAGTACTGCAAAGCAGTGTCCCAGGTGATTTTTTTTTCTAGTTAAAACTGTCAGAAAATGTTATCAGGATGAGCTAAGAGGCTATGGATACTTATTGCTTCATTCTGTCCTCCTGTCTGGGAAATCAAAGAACAATAAAGCTCAATTTTACACACACACACACACACACGTATAAACATACCTATTAACTTTAATAATTACCCTCTTTGGGCTTCTAGACTATGGAGTTCACGTGTCAGTGTCAACAACACCTACAATAACGACAACAATGATGACAATGACGATGATGCTGGCTAGCGTATGGTGCTTCTGAGGTTTGCAAAGGGCATTTCGTATGTTATCTTCTTTGATTCTCAAAATAACTCTAAGAAGTGGGTACAATGATCATCTCTATTTTATAGATAAGGAAACTGAGGCTCATAAAGATGAAATGACTTGCCTAGGGTCAGCGAGCTAGTGTCTGAGGCAGGATCTGAACTCAGTTCTTCCAGTCCAGAACTCTCTCCATTATGCTACGCTGTGTCTTTTTCAAGGGAAAGGTTCCCAGAACAGAGTGAACAGTAGAGGTCAGGTCTTTAATGTATTCCCTATTACTCCAAAAGACTCATGTAGTAGATTATGTATCTATTTGGACTCTCCTGAAAAGGTTGATTATCACCAGTTTCAGGACCTAAATAGGTTTCTATTTCCTTACTTTAACTATTTCAGTTTCCCAGAATTAGCACTGAAGGAAACTGTGTTTTTCCAATCTGTTGCTCCAATGAATAACTTAAAAGTTATAAACATATATATATGTGTGTATGTATGTATGTATGTATGTATAGAATGTAAAAGCAGGTTTTAGTGTAAACAGCTCTACACCTGACACCAGATGGCTTTTTAGGACTTTTTTTTTTCCTTACTACTTACTGGTAGCTGGTATTTGGTTATTCAAGTGCTGAGCCAACAAGACTCAATCAGCTCCTTTTAGCATCTGGATAACAGTATTAGCAGCACCTCTACGAGCCAGTTCCTAAGTCAGTTAATTAGCAGCTGCTTGGGAAAGATCAAGCCCTTGGCAACTGCGCTTACAAAGGGTTAAACTGGGGACTAACTACCACTCTCATTTAACCCGAGGCTTAGTTTCCTCACCTGTAACATGAGGGGTCTGGATCAGACAGCCTTACTGGCCCTTTCATCTTCAAATCTAGAATTCTATGAAGGTACAGACTTTACCCAAAGTCAGGCAGCTGTACCTGCTGCCCCCATGCAGCTCTCTTAACACCTGTTATCCTTATTATGAATAGCAGAAACTCAATAGACAGATGTTGATTGATTAGGTTATCCTTATAATTGGACTTGATGGAATAACTGACCAATACCTGAGACTTCAAAAATCAAATAAATTTAAATGCACAATAGCAATTTTTAATTAAAATTAAATTTTAAACCCACATTAACAGAATCTACTAAAAGTAATGTTTTGTGTGTCCTGAGAGGAAGTGTGATGCGGTGGAAAGAAAATTGGATGGATATCGGGTTAGGGATGAATCTAAACTCTGCTACTGACTACTCACGTGTCCTGGGGAAGATAACTTCTTTCTGTGCCTCAGTTTCATCACCTGTAAAAATGGGCATAAAGTATCTATCTCAAGAGTCAGTATGATATAGCAGATAAAGGCTCGGTCTTAGAGACAGGAACCTGGGTTCAAGTCCTGCTTCCCACACTGACTAGCCAGGTGACCGTGGGCCAATCCCTGAATCCCTCAGTCCCCAAGGCAACCTAAGATTAAAAGTTAAAGATGAGCCACTGATCTGCCGTGGAGGTACAAGTTTCCAGACAGGATTTCCCTACAATAATGAAATCACACATTTGAACTGAAAAACCCCAATGATCTCCCTCAAACCTCTCTGTTCTGGGGTTCAGATGAGATCACATGTAAACCTTAAAGGGAGATCAGAAAGCCAACTACTATTATTAGTCTAAATTTGGAAAGATGTAAACTCATAGTTTGGGCCTTTGTGAAAAGGCAGAATGAGAATTATCCACATTCATTAACATTCTTAACATTAAAAGAATTAGGAATATTATTAATAACTAAATAAAATTCCATAAGAATCAATAGACATAGAGTTATCCTTTATGCCTGTGTTATTCCACAAGAGAGAAAAAATAATGGAGTGAGAGTCTGCTGGAACGCCATCTAACAAAGATCTAAGCTACTGAAAAGAAGGTCTAATTAAATTAGTGCTTAAACTTCTTAGAAACCTCATATGTAATTATTTTTCAAAAAGGAATTGACCTACATACGTCACTTCCCTAAAACTAGGAACCACAATGATGTTTCTGGGTTTGTTTGTTTTTTTAATGTTTTGATATTTTAAAGGGATAGGGATTGGACATGTGATTTCTTTGGTACAGGTAACTCCTAGGTTCAGAAGGTCCCTCTACCAATGCACGTCAGCAGGTTCTCTGCAACTCAGAATCTTAAGAGAGTTGCCCAGATCACTGGTGGGATGAAATGCTTTGCCCTGAGTTACACAGAGCCAGAAAGTGCCATAGCTCAGAACTTAACTCAGTCCTTCCGGGCTTTCTATCTATGTTGGCTCTCTGTCCATGATGCCACGCTGACTCTCTATTAAATGGTCCCAGGGAAGAACTGAGACATTTTTTTTTAAAAATTGTCTCTTGGAAGGAGAAGGGTCTGTTATCTTTCCTCTGGGCCTCGGTTTCCTCCTCCGTAAAACAGAGGAGTTGGGTTAGACGGCTCTGAGGTCCCTTCCAGCTTTAATCTATGACCTTTCAAATACAAAGCCTCTGCCACCTGAAAGAATTTCAAGAGAGCAGTCTGACAAGCAGGGGTCGCTTGTATTCTCAATGGGCATTGGCCATTTCATTTTTTTAAACTCAAAGAAAGTGACATCCATGAACACTGATCATTCTAGACCAAGCTAGGAAAGCCTCCACGAATGAACAAAGAATGCCGCAGAGTTTAAATAATAAGTGTCCAAAGGGTCCCCGGCTTCCTAGAAGACAGTTCCAGCAGCATCTCCCGTGGCGGCTTCTCCCATCCCTGTGGGCTGCAAGGGCCCTTCCCTCCAAGGCACCTTCCATCCTCTCCTTCGGCATCTGGTCTGTTCTAGTTGTCCCCACTC